ATATATATATATATATATATATATATATATATATATATATATATATATATATATATATATAGTTAGGTTCAAACCTGTTTTTGCATATATTAGAAGAAAATGATAATTGGTACCAAGACTAATCCTTGAGGAACACCCTTAGGGATATATTGAGTTCTGCCAGTTTATTTAAAGATATTTTCAATAAACATAAATTAAAAACTATTGAATTTAGAAAATAACATAAGTGACTAAATACTTTAGAAAAAAGATGCACCAGTTTGGCTTCTCTTGACCAGTTCAATATCTGCTTTCTTTGAGACTAGAATGTCTAATTTAATGGCAGTAGAGTTTTTAGCACTGATGGATTTAATAAAGATTTCAATTTACTGTTTTTCTGACCTACCCATTATGATTGCAGCTCATAAACTGTTATTGACCATTTCAATGTCTAAGCGGTTTGGTTTGTGCATCTAAAGTCAGATATATGATGCATTTGTATTGCAAAGCATCGTCTATTTCTTTAAGAGAAAGGGTTAGAGTTCCAAATATGGCTTAGAATATATCCAACATAGAATTTAAGGAGAAAGTTTCTCCATGACACAGTATAAACAAATCAATGTACCAAAACTTTTTCAAGAAATGTGTAATATAGTTTTTTGTTACAAATAGAAAAATTTGACTAATGTACCTTTTTCTTTGCTGCTCTTCCCCTGCTCTTTGTGAACTTGCTGTTGTTGTCCATGGAGGCCGCCCTGCGTCGTGGAGACTTTCCACTTTTCCCGCCTTCTGGGTTCAGCATCCACCAGGAGCTCTTCCCCGTCCCCTCATTCTGGACACGGATGAAGCGGCTGTGCAGGGACAGATTGTGTCTAATGGAGTTCTGGAGGAGAGGGAGAAAGAGGAGGAAAAAAGGATGAGGAGGAGACAAACAGGGACATTTGCCCTTTTCCCAAAACATCTCAGATGTGTTTTATCACAGAAGTGCAAATCCACGCATACAGGTGGCGGCTCTTGAAAACATGTTCGCCTTGACAATTGACTTATGAGGAGAGAAGAGAGGTTTTTAAGGTCACTCAACGATCCCATGGTGTTTGCCTTCCAAAGAAAACACACGTGCAAACACTCAATAGATGTCAGTGGGTTTACTCCATGACCAAGATATCCTGAGCGAATATGAGCATGGAGAAAAACAGAGAAGGCTATTGTAAAAAAAACAAAACAAACTAAACTAAACAAAAAAAAATCTGCAGTCACATTCCACTTGACTCTGTGTCTTGTCTAAACCAGCACAAATTCAAAGGGAGGAAACCGACTAATCTTTCCTCCTTACAGACACATTAATGCTAAGCTCTGACGTTGCTTAGTGACACTACCGGTGGAAAAACTAATTTTTGAGCAGGAAGCTAGTGAAGCGTTATAAAAACAGGGCAAACAAAAGAGCAAGAATATTAGGTAAATGTCTGCTGAGCAAACCGCAAAAGGCGAGACACCCTTTTTTCTTCCACTGCACTCTGACGCCTGAGTCACAAAACACTCAGGATTTCACCTGTTTGTTTGATTTTAAAGTCCAGATTGACTCAAAGTGCAGCTAAAGTAACCATTTAACCTCAAAAAATAATTCAGCTCTGCCTCCGCATCATTTTCTGTCTGTATTTCAACATGAAGTAATGAGCCTTGCCCAGACATTACAGTGCCTGCGTAAAGCTTGTTGTTTTGGAGGAAAAGCTGGAAGTCCCGGCACGCACACAGACATAAACACACGCACACTCGCACGCAGAGCTTAGCGTGCATAGCAGCCAAAGTCATCAAGCCCGCTGCCCGCCGTGAGTCACGGCTTCACATCTGGTTTGCAGTCTGCACCCTCCATGCTGCCTTCACCTCTGTTTCTACTCATCTGAGCCATCATGTTTTCTTCTTCCACAACAGGCCACAGGTGGGTGTCATAAAGTATTCATGGATTTTAAGTAACACATATCAAAATTAGCCAATAAAATGTCAGAATACAAGAACTTTTAGAAAACATTATAAAACATTACAACTAGTTTTTTCTTATTTTCTCATATTATTATTTGTAATGCCTGCTCCAAAACATTGATTTTGTTGTTCTTTTGCCACTTCAAAACTAATTAAAAAACATTGTTCATATTGCAGACCTGTTTACTGTATGGCAAAGCCTTAACTTCCAGGTTTATATCTTCCGATGTTGCTTCAATGTTTCCAGCTGATGTTCTGCTGCAGCTGGGGCTGGTACTACACAGAAGAACATCAACACACTGTGATGCTGTCACACCTCAAAAAACATTAATCTCTCCAAAAACTGCCCCTGAGTGTATTTGCAAACTATAACCTGCTTTTAGCACTACTTTTGGAGTAATGGGTTCTTTATCTCTATGTGGATATTCATAGCCTTTCTCTTCTGAGCTTTAGGCATCATCTTAACATCTTGCTTTTGGTCTGCAGCTGATAAGAATATGAACAACAACATCTTTTGGACATTCCTAAATATTCATTGATATTCAGTAAGTTAGAAATCCATTGTGATGAGCCTTGTTTGTAAAATCAAATCAAGTTCCAAAAAAAAATAAAAACAATCCACTTTTTTTTGTTTTGAAACGCCTATGACCTGGATGACTGAGAACCTTCACCAGCAACCTTCATCAAGCATAAACCATTTGTCAATGCAGATTTACTATTCTAATTTTAAATGCTGCTTTAACATAACCTTTAAAACATCAGAATTATATGAAATAAAGGTGAGAAAACACCCTTGCAAGTGTAATTATACTATATAGTGTTTCGTCTGTTGAACTGATTTATAGACAGTAGTAAGCTTTTTAATGATATAATAATTTACTGATTTTGATTTTTGATTTTTTCCTATCAGCATTTGTAGCACCATAACTCTATAAAGGGGTAATGTGCTAAATAAATAAATTAAAAAAGTCTTTCAGATATAAGGATTACAGAGCTCTTTGGCTCCATATCACTTGGAAATAAGAAAATCTCCCCCCCAAAAAAAGTAAAGTCTGTATATCATTGGTTTTTCATCCTAATAACAACCCTGTCAAACTTTCTAAGAACCCCAAATTATAAGAGCTGTGAAAATATCTCCAGTTTAAGTTGCTTCTTTTAGCCGATTATTTTGAAGTAATGTACCTTGAGCTCATTAGTAAACTTACATGTAGCAGAAAAGAATGTTCTATTTTAATAAGCCTGAGATGATAGGAGTAGTTACTATTATCAAGGATTTAAAACTAAATGTTTTAAAAAAGCAACATTTCTGCATCACAACTAACGCTTTCTTTTAAACATAGCAACTTGCCTGAGTTTTCTAAAGTCACGACCATGGACAAAGACTATTATGAACCAGTCAGATGGCTGAAGGAAGCCTGCTATACTCCCCACTCTGTAGAAATATATCTGTCTGGAAATATTTCTGGTTGTGAAAAACAGAGTCATTGAGTGAAAACTGAAAAAGTACAACGTATGAGTTTAGTTGAGGTACCATTGGTTTAAAACTAGAGCAGCAGATACCTGTGCAAACAGTTTGACTAATCAACCATATCAGCTTGTTACACCTCCCCTCTGCCCACAGTCTCCATGGTCAGATGACAAACACTGGCTCCTTACAAATGATTGTTATTACCCCTGAATCAAATGACATGACTGCTTTGACCGATAGACTTTGAGTAGTTTGCATGATCTGGGGTATGTGACAGCCCTTCTTCAAGAGCCTCACAAATGCCCTGCTCCCATTTTCTCCACCTTTTGCACATTAGTACTTATGACAAAAGGGGAGAGAGAAAAGTCTAGTCATGAGCCTCAGTTTCCCATGACTACTGAGTGTACGGCTTTATTCAGCTGTGCTGGAATAAGGAATGAATGCAATGTGTGTGCAGACGCCGGGATGTCCTGTTATAGCCCTTCCATCATCCTGATGACAGGATGGGGAGAAAAAAAAATTCTCAGCTTTGGAGAAATCCATTACGACTTGTGTCACAGTTAAAATGCAGGGTGTGATGATCTAGAACATTTAGTCCAGAAGGAATGGAGCAACAGAGCGAGCAGAGGCACGGGGACATAAATGAGCTCTGATGGGAAATACCAGAACTCAACAGAACTTGGTGTGCTTTGTGGGGAGTGTGGCTCAGGGTGTCTGGTGTGGCAGTGGAAAAAAGCTCGTCGTCCCACCAAACTTGTGTGAGTGTGTGTCTGTGCGTCCTTAAATGAAATGACACTATGACAAACAGCAGCTTTGTATGGCTTTGATTCTGAAACACAGTCTGTCTCAGCCAGAGACGGTGGTTTGAAAGCTACACGCTCACTTTTATGAATCCAACACCCAACAGTTACAGTGTTTGGCATTCATGAACCTTTTATTAAGTTGTCACTTTACAACCACATACATTTAAGTATTTTATCAGGATTCTAATTAAACCTTGTTTGTGTTGTTTTTACATTAAAAATGCAAAGTTGTGTTCATTACCATGATTATAGCTTTTAATGCTAAAAAAATTTCAGCTCAGTCATGTCCAGACTTTGACTTGGCTATTTTGAAGCAAACTATGCTGTACTCTAAACTATTTCTGTGTCATATGTGTCGTTCTTCCATAGGTTCATTGACCTGCTCAAAGTGTCTTTCTTCCAAGATTGCCTTGTGTTTAACTCCATCTTTCTGTTGACCATTAGTAGCTTCCCTATGCCTGCTGAGGAAAACTATTCCCATGATTCAGCTACCGCAATGTTTCCCCATGGAAAAAGGCTTTTCAGGGTGTTTTACAGCATTAGAACACTTTTTAGCTTTATTTTAAGCCCTCTAGTTGAAAATACCGATTTGTGAAGAGTAAATCTAATGGTTGTCCTGTTAAAATGTCCTACCTGAGCAGTGAGTTAGGGGAGCTCCTCCAGCGGGCTCCTCTGATAATTGCTCTTCTAATGCGTAGGGTTGGTAGACTTACCTGTATGCGTTTTTGGATTTAATTTGAGAAGAGAATGCATCTACCGATCATATAAAATACAGATATATTTTATGAAAAGCTTTGTTTGCACACTTAAAGTTTAAGCACATTCTCTTTTGGACACAAAGAGTGTTTTGTTGCTTTTGGAACCAGAGATACATTGTGACACAGATTTATCTCTGGCTGCAGAACACAGGAATCTAAACATTCCAGCTAATCACTGTGTGCAAAGTTCAATTGTAATCTCCGCCAACGTGCTAGTATCTTTTAGGAAACAGTAAATGCAGGATTCCCAGCCAAGGAGTCATCACAATCAACATTCCTGAGCAAGGTTACAAAACCCACAATTTCCCAAAGCTTTGATTACTGTCACTGGAGGATGTCCTAAAAGAAAGACAAATTAGAAAGATTTTATAAAAAGTAAACAAGCTAAACTTTTAATTAAGACATACAAAAGTTGCTTTGCATTGAGATACACGGCCATAAAAAGCAATGAGTGAGCTGACATTAGTGTCTTTGTTAGAGCTCAGTTATGCAGCTGCAGACACGGAGAAAGAAAATCTCTCGCTGCCGTTTCGAAGCCTTCCATGAGGAGCACAACCTCCTGTCCTCCGAGTCAACACACCAGAGCTATACTGGCAAAACACAAGGAAGTGACCACATGAAAGAGGACATTGACAGGAAACAGAGCTGACTTCCTGCCTCACAGGAAACATAGCGGTCAATAAGCAGAGAAGAAGGCATGGAATGCGAAGCCGCAAGGCCGTGAGCCAAGTGGACACCGCAAATTCAATTCAATCCCCCTTCCATCAGCCAAGAGAGTGTATGTTTAGCAACAGGCTCCGAGGTTTGTTGTCAGAGCACATGCATTAAAAGAAAACAATGTTCACTATGCCAAGGCGGGGCTAATTGTGAAATACAT